GCTGGGCGCTATTCGACATTCTACTGGTAGGATAAGTTTTTCTTGTCTTCTTTACCCTTGTGTCGTTTTCCCCTTTGTGTGTAATATTTTTTTTTTTTCCACAACAAAGAATTTAAAACCCGCCGCCACTACGTAACCACTAACGGCGGCACCTTTTACTACTGTAATTCGCTTCCCTCATGCATGTTGTCTTCATTTTATGCTTGATCTATGTATTTAGAAATGAATAGATGTAAAGACAGCACCAGGGCTCGCTGCCGGTTTTTTTGGGTCTCCTCGTGTTTCGAGTCGACTGTGCAGTGGTTATATTCAGAATTCACCAGCATAGAACCTGCATCCAAATACTTTTGTATTTGGGTGATGCGGAGTATCATCGATCCCAGTGATACGATGTAAATACCCCCACCCTTGATCCTAAGGCGACCACCTAAAGTTGCTTCAACGTTTATAGGATCACGGGCGTCGGGATCCAAAGCAACCCCGTCGGCACGTCTCTCCCTGTCCGTCTGAGTGCGAAGTGGGACGCAGGACACGCAAACAGTGTTGATGGGCGGACATTGGTCAGCTGCGGAGGATGTAACGCTTAAAGCCCCCAGGTGGGGAAAAGCTCAGACAACACTTCCCGCTGGACCAAACGGTACCCGGTCGGTGTGGTTTCGGGATCAGACCCCATAGCGTGGGATAAGACCAAAACACCCCCAACCGGATCCCAAGGCTCCTTCCCCAGACCCCAGTACCACGAATTTCCGTTTGGCAAACCGGGCAAAGGGGGACAGCCGCGTTCCATGGGCGTTCTCGCCAGCTCAATCAGAGACGACCCATCCAGCCCTGAGGGCAGTTGCTTGAGCGCATTATTGTGTGCGCCCAGGACTCTGGAGACCTCGGAGACAGAACGCACCAGCCTCCTAGACCAGGCGACACATTTACTGGCGGGCCAACGCACATCTACATGCGACATCCCCTCGTGTCACCTGGCTCTCTTGGCCGGGGCCACTACTGTGCTACGAGATGCGGCCTTAGACGCACATGTTTTCGCCGACAAGTTGAGCCAGGGGGTACGTCCCCACCTCAGTGACGCAGACCGGACATCTTCTACCCTCTTTGTTCAGGGAATGGTGGGTACAGTCTCGGAGCTTCGAAGTGCAATGAACCGGAGGGTTCAGATCAAATCCGCTAGCCAGTTTGCCCTGCCAAGGGCAAGTGGAGGGCACCCCAAGCACAGAAAACACAACGCCCTAGGGTGTCGTCCGCTAGCCAGAGTCAGCCAGGAGGCAAGCGCTCATACCCTTCCATGAGAGGAAAGAGGAGTGGCGTGCCCCCAGGGAGGAAAGAGCCAGGTGGTGGCTCCTCACCCTCCCTGGGCGGACGTCTACCCCGGCAGCGGGGAAGCGTGTTTGACGCTCACCTCTGCAACCGGGGGGACAGGCATGTGTTCAACGAGTGGCCAGGTCACAACTTAGTAACTACTCCAGGCCTTGGGGAACTCACCTCATGGGAGAAGAGAGCACCCCCCTCGCAACTGCCGAAACCCATGGCCACAGATTGCGCCAGTTTAGTCTGGTTTGGAGACAGCGGGTGGCCGATCCTTGGACCCAGGTGGTGACATCCGGTTAGGAAGTAGTAGTTTGCTGGGAAAAGGCGCCATATACAGGGTACATCAGCTGGAACTAAATCCAGGCTTCTACCCAAATGTGTTCGTAGTACCAAACCTACAAGTGGCGGGCGTCCAGTTCTGGACCTAGGCAGACTGAATCAGTACATGCTCCTTGATCGGTTCCACATGGAGACACCATTCAGGGTTCTTCTCTACATCTACCGTTTCGACTGGCTAGCCCCACTAGACTTAAGCGGGGCCTACCTGCACATACCGATGCACCCAGCAAGTTGCCATCTCCTTCGAATCGCCAAGCTGGGCCAAGTATTGGAATTTCGGGTGCCCCCCGTTCGTTACACAACGCCCTACGTGTTCACCAGAGTTCCCCAAATGTCGGTACACCTCAATCTATACCCAGACTACTGGTTACTACACAACCCGGACAAGGGGTCAATAGCCAAACACGTCAGGCTAACACAGGATTTACTTCACCAGTTGGGCTCATTAGTAAATTGACAAGTCCCAAGTCTTGGGGTCATGGGGCTTCCTCTGACCTAGATTCTATCTCTCCGTCATCGGCAGAATCGCTGACTAATGCCTACAGTTCAAAATAGTCATTTTGACTGACCGGAGTCTATGGTGGATATGAACTATGTGAATAGGTGGGTTCGGAGAACCTCTGCCTAATTTCGGTCACATATAAACGCTCGATTCGATACGATATCCGCCATGTTTGTTCAAACACTTTAGTAACTTGAAACTGTTTTTTGACCCAATAGGTCAAGTCGCTAATTAACCAATCGAAACGCTAGATGGTGCCAACGTGTTTAAATTCCCATAGCTCTTCATGGTGAACCGCAACACGGAAGAGATTTACCGTTGTTGTAGTGCGATTGTTTGGCTTTAATTTTGATGGGAAAACGGCATGATTTTTTTTTTAAATCAAGAAATTAGTTGTTTTCGAAAGATAAGCTGAGGATTGAAAAACAATTTAACACTTTTGACGATAATAACAGCACATTGTTGAAACGCACTTTACCCACTCATGCTACCCACATTAAATAATGTACTCTCGAATAAGCATCCATGACTACGGAAAACCTAAATTAGACGCTAATCTAGGCGTCAGGAAAGATTGAGATGTTCGAAAAATTATGCCTTAACTTGAAATTAAATGGTATATCTTTTTCTGAAATATGTGGTGGCTGTTTGGTTTGTGAAAGTTTGGGGTGCGGCTTATATTGCAGACTTTTTCCGGGGATCAAAACTTGTCAATTTCAACATGAAACAATGTCTCAAGTTAGGGGTGCGGCTTATATTAAAGCTGCGGCCTCAAATATGATTTTTACGATAATTGCCAGCTAATCTATTTTTTTTCAAATGTGGAAAAATGTATGCTGGTTTATTTTGATGAACCTCAGCTGAAATGTGATAAAGTATGTTTTTTCTTTCCATAGGTGCTGGCCAAGCAAGAAAAAACCTTCCTATTGAACTTCCCACGAGTGAGAAAGAACATATCTATATGGATATGCAAGGAAATCAACAACGTACTCGAGGGAGTTCAGGTCAACAAAAAGATCAATTAACGATAACTGGAAAACCAAAAAAGCAAATCAGAGACGTTTCTGATTTCTGTGTAGACAGTAATTACAAAGACAAGCTGAGATCAAATTGGCGAAAAGATATCAGTGATTGTTCACCTAAGAATCAAGATAAAGACTCTTATTTTGCTTATACCCATAATGTACCTGTCTATAACAAGAAACAGCCAAGGTCACCAACGTCGCCTGGCTTGAGTACTGGCCAGGCTATTGCCCATGCTAGTTTGGACATAGGTAGTGTGGTAGAAATCATGGGGAATCAACCAAAATATGGCGTGATAAGGTGGC